ACCCTAGGTCTTTGGGTCTGAAATTGTTTGCTTGAATGTATACTTGACTCGATTGAAAGTTCTTGTTTCAGACTCTCTTTTCTTTATGTGACTTATCTGATTTTTACTATCTTTCAACTAGACTATGGCAGAAACCCTAATTTCTCAAAAGGGTTTCCTCACCTGTTACTGTGAGACCTTTACTTGTTTTGACTCTCTTCTTCACTCTGGCTATACGTGTGATCCCTGAATACCTAACTTTGTTCACTACTAAATCCTATGCTTATTTCTGCTACTATTGTATGTTGTTTCTTTTGCCAATGTGCTTGTCCTCGCATGTCTGATGTTTCTGTTCACTCTGTTTATATACTGAAGTGCAGAAGCATATTCTTCCTTGATTGATCTTAATCTTGTGACTGATTTCAAAAACTTTCCTTTTATGAACGCTAATATCACTCGCCTGTTTAAAATTAATTGATTCTTTTCCCTTTATTGTGATGTTTTACCTTGCTGATTTCTTTCCCAAAATAAGCACATTTTTTTTACTTAGACTCGATTGTTCAACGCATCCTTTTACTACCCCTTATATGGCAATAATCAGTCTGCTTTCAAACTGATTTTCTTTCCTTAATTAGACCTGCTACTACTCGTTAGACAGTGATCCCTTAATTAAAGGGGAATCACTTGGGTAATTGATTCCGACTTGTGAGTGTTTCCATGTTTGTATCAAGACTTTACTTATTACCTCTCCTTCACTCGTTTTCAAAAAACTATAAATACCCTGCACCCCTCTTCTTTCAAAGACACGAACGAACCATCTGAGTTCAGAACACACACTTCACTCAAAACTCTCTCTCTTTTCTCTGTTACTACTTGTGTTACTGCTTTGTCTAGCCGGCTGAAAGCCAAGGCTAGGCTGTGGAAATTTGCTTACTTTTCTTTCTGCACTTTGCTTCTTACTGGTATGTCCTAGTTAATCTTCAAGCATCAACAACAACATGTTTTTTTAACTGTTTCCTTCACTCTTGCCTGTTTCTGCTTATGTGTATGCAATCAAGTTTCATTACTAAGCATGCTGTAATCTGCTCCCTCCCCTTTCTAAATTAATGTGTTCCCTTATGTATGTACTCTGTCAATCACTTGATTATGTGATTTGTTGACTTATGAATCCCAAACCCCATACCCTCCTATGTGCTTGTGTTCTCTGGCTGGTTTGTGGGCATGCCAGCATCATCTATTGCTGTGCATGTCCCAAACCTCACCCTTTTTGTGCAATTACTGATTCTGTGTAATTTAAGTTTTACTACTAGTGTTTTCAAATCACCCTTACCCCTTACTATTCTCAACCCAGTTTTAAATAAAATCTCTATTTATGCACTTCCATTATACTCTTAGAACTTAGGTTCTGCCCCTCTTGTGTGAGCCTTGCCTTGGGACCCATGAGCTCCCTCTGAACTTGGACACACAAGGGCTGGCCCTTCACACTGCACTCATCTCTATCTAGTTATGCAAACCTGGGTAAGCACTGCCCGGGGTCCCTTGAGACCCTTAGGGAACTTTGACACACCTAGGTCTGAGAAAGTCTTTGAAACAAGTGGCATTTGAGGTGGTTTGCCCCATAACTCAGAGAGGAAGTCAGAATCAGGCTTCTTATGGTTGTAACTTCTTATTTCACACTTTTCTAATGTAATTCAGTATTTTGGTCTGTAATAAGTTGTAACGAATATTGGGGTTGGTTAGTGCAAAGGGATGGGGTAATTGTGCATGTTTTAAGGGTAGATATCCTGCCTATGGGATCTTATTAGTAAAGTTCTGCATATTTACTTCCACACTTAGAAATCATGCCTATAGGGTCTAATGGCTATAATTAGACATCATGCCCACAAGTTAAAAATTAGTTTCTAAACTAGATGTCATGTCTACAGGATTAAAATTAGTATTTTTTATAGAAGTCATGCCTATAGGAATTTCGCTATGATCATTTAAATCCCGCCTACTCAATGAGATACCATGCCTATAGGATCTGAAACTAGTTTAGTTAAAATCAGTTTGACTCGTACTATGTTGAATTAGTTTAAATAACTTACGCCTTTCATTAATGCGGTTTAGAAAGCATGCCTATAGAATCTAAATTACTCATTTTAAATTATCACTGCTTTGCCCTTTTTTGAATCAGTAATAGGTATCATGCTTATAGGGTATCATCAATACACACTTAGGCAAGCCTTAGGTAATAACGATAAAATTGAATCCGCCTTTGTTTAATTAGCAACTGCTGCAACCAGCAGGCAGGCCTGATTCAGATTTCTTATCTGAGTTATATAATAAATGGGTCTGCTTCAACAACTGAAATTCCCCTATTTTAGTACTTTGAATTCTAGCCCTAAATGTGTTTTAAGTCATGCTATTTATGTGCTTTACTTGAGGAGGTATATATGAGCCTTTAGTTGTTTACATGTTTCCCCTAATATGCAGTCCTATGTGTTTTGAATGTCGCCTTAGTCTTTTTACCTTTAAAACCCAAAAGTCAGCCTAAAATCCTTCCGCTTATAGGAATAGTAGTCCTAAATCCCTCCGGGACTGATAGGAATGGGACGGGTAATAGCATACAATTGAGGTCGAGACCAATCCGCGCTTTAATACCTTAACGGGGTGGGAAGGGTAGATATGGATATGATGACCGGTGCGCTAATACCACGTGTAGACCCTCTTTTGAGAAGTGATTATCGGGCATTGCATTGATGTGATCCATATTACAAATAAACCTAGGACCCTCTTTTTATATTCATTAGCATGTTATAACTCTTTCAAAACTTTATTTTATTTTATCACTTACAAACAATCGTGTATTTAAAATCCCCTCTTATTTGAGCCTTGTTTGTTTACTTGTTAATTGCACAAATTCACAAAGAAACTATCTGGCCGGGAACCACACTAGTGGATCCTGAGGGGCGCCTAACACCTTCCCCTTAGGATAATTTCAAGCCCTTACCCTATCTCTGGTTATCCAACAAACTTAGAATTGAACCTTATAGGTGTCCTAATGCACCTTAAACCACTAGGTGACGACTCTTCAATTGCAAACCCCTTTCCCAAAAGGAAAGAGTTGTCCCAACCAAATGTCACTAACCCGATTTTTCGATGCAAAGAGGAAAAAAGGGGGCGCGACAGTATCTCTGCTGATACTCTTTAAAAGATTCCAAATGAAGTTGTTAACGCATTTCTCCAATAGAAGTCAAGACTTAGTTTTTAGATGGCTCCTTGATTAATTTGAACAAATTTTGTTAAGGTATTGTTATCAAGGACATCTAGCTTTTTTATTTTATTATTGTGAATTTGAATTATGGCTCCTTGATTAAGCGATTACTATTCTTTTGATTTCCATATAGTGGCTATGAACTAGCTTTTTTATTTTGTTATTGCGATGTTATCTTATATCTTCTTTTCTAGCCATGCCAATTGATAAATCTTGGATTAGCAAACCACGAAATATACTTGAATATGCGGATGGGCTTAGAAAATTTCTAGATTTTGCTTTTGAGTATGGGTCTATTGATGGGTGTGTAATTAAGTGTCCATGTACGAAATATGGTTTTACGGCGAAGAAGAATTGTAGTTGAAGAACACCTGACTTGTAAGCCTTTTCCAAAAAATTTATAAAGTTTGGTATTTGCATGGTGAAGAATCAAATGAAACTATACCACAAATGTTTCAGAGCACACATGTCATAGAAGAAAGTCTGCAGCCCCAAGATCCAATGATAAATGATTAACGATGCATTTGAGTTCATAGGGAATAATGTCAATGAGCCTGGTGTGTCTTGTGAGCCTGTGAATAGTGAAGAAATATTTAATGAAGGTCATAGTGGAGAATATGCACAGTTCTATCAACTGGTAGAAGATGGCAATCAACCGTTATATGAAGGGTGCGCGAAGTATTCCAAATTATCCTTTCTAGTCAAATTGTATCATATCAAGTGTTTGTGCCGAATGAGTGTCAAAGCGATGAGTATGATTTTAGAATTGTTAAAAGATGCCTTTGAAGATGCCAAGAATCCTGTTTCTTTTTATGAGGCAAAAAAAAAAAGCATCAACAAACTTGGTCTTAGTTATACCAAGTTCCATGCTTGCCAAAATGATTGTATATTATATTTTGGAGAAGATAAAAGCTTACAAGAATGCAAAAAGTGCAAGACATCTAGGTGGAAGGACAATAAAAAGAAGCAGCCCGCAAAGATTTTGTGCTACTTTCCTGAGAATGAGCCATTTCCAGTGCAAGACTTTGATCAATTCTTTGATGATGTGAATGATCTAATTTTGAGTTGGGAGGATGAAATTGATGAAGTATTTGAAAATGAGATTGGGAAAGATGAACATATTTGAAGAGCCACTGCCAACCCATTTTTAGTCTAAGAAACCAAACTGTATCTATGCTTATAGTTGATCAACAATGTTCCTTACAAAGTAAATGTGTCTTGTTATATGTAATTTTTGGCCATGGCTTAGTGTCACCGGTTTTGTAGTACATGCCTCAGTATTGGTATTGGTGTTGCTGATTGTTGTTGAAGCCAAATGGCTAATTCCTTTCTGAAGTCATGATCTTGTAGTCTTATTGCTTTATTCCTTTCTGAAGTCATAATCAGTATTCAGTAGACATACCCGCTTCTTTGTGTTTTATTCCTTGTTTTTTTGCTTTGGCATTATAAATTATTGACTTGTTCTGCTATTATGAATTGGTAGAGTTGTATCTGTTGTTACATTTATTGGTCAACTATTGTGTATCAGCACTTGTTAATATTGTTACATCTATTTGCTATTATTGTGTAATGGTTTTCACTTCAATCTTCAATATACTGATGGTTTTGACTTCAATCTTCAGTATATCATGAGAAATAAGTGGAACAAGAAAAAGTAAAAGGGTCGAATATTTTGGATTTTAGGAAGCTTCTTTGCAAGTATAAAAATCAAGGGGCGTAAGTGTTCTCATTCCTTTTTCTTGAATTCCTTAGTTTCAATTCTCTTGGCATCTTCTTTAAATTTTATTGCTAAAGTCTTGAAACTTTGATCTTTTTTTCATAAAGGTTGATTTTTGGCACAAAAGACTAAAACTTTTAGTTAGTTTTGAAAGTTTCTTCATCTCACGGACATTGTTTAATCTGCTTGCAGCTGATTTTGTACTTACTAAAGATTGCAGTTCTACTAGACAGGTAAATTTTGTTTTGGTTTCTTTGTCTTAATATTGTTCTTGTTTTCTCTGTTGTTCTGGTTATTGCTTAGTTTTTGGTTATGAATTTGGTGGCTGGCTCCGAATATTTTCTTCAGCTTGGTTTCTTTTAAATGGAGTTCCTTATCTGGATACAAACTGTTGAATAATGTTGAGGATTAGCCCAATATTTTTATGTTTCAGTTTCCATTTTGATATTAGTCTTTTGTTGCAGAAAGATGATGCTCAAGCCACATAAAAAGATAAAAGGAACAAAAGAGTTCCTGAATTTAATTCCAAAGACTGTACCTTTTTCTCTACAAAAATTTCATCTTGTAATTCCACTATGTGAATCTCAATCTAAATAGAAAACTACACCCCCTTTGCCAAGTCTTATTGGTTGATAAACTTGCACTGCTACTATTGTTTCTGCTTAGATGTTCTCTGTTAAAATTCTTTGTTGTTTTTGAAATTTCATATTACTGATTTGCTATGTTTGCATATGAACTTGGTTGTCACTTTGTTCAACCATGTATATATGTAGAGATGCCAAAGCAAAATCGGGTGAAAAATCTATTCAAATCAATCAAAGGGAGCTCTTCACTTGCTCCAGAGCAGTCATCACATGCTTAGTCTCAGGCTCAAGCATCATATTCATCTTCTAATCGATACTCTTTACGTCATACACAACCCATCATTCCAGTTGCATCAACTAATAGAGTCTCGTCACAGAATGGCATTCCAGCTGCATCAACTAATAGAGTCTCGTCACAGAATGACATTCCAGCTTCATCAACTAATAAAGTCTCGTCACAAAATGACATTCCAGCTTCATCAACTAATAGAGTCCCTTCACAGAATATCATTTCATCTTCATCATCTGATGAAGTCTCTTCACAATCAACTACACGTGGACGAGTTACAGATGACTCAGAGCCTCGTGATTGGGTTGTCGATGTTATAGGTACATATGTTTCTTTTAATGTTTATTAGTTCTTGACATTTATATCAATCAGAAATTTTTAATACAAATGCATCCTTATTCATATCTTGTTAACTTATGTCTCCTTGTCTTTTTTTCTTAACAGCAATTGCTCAATTTTTTTTCTAGTTTTTGTCACTGCTTAAAGATTTGGATTAATGTAGACAGAGGATATCAAGAACCGATGATGGTTGAACTCAATCTACTGCTGGTAGTAGCACATATTGTTTCCATGTCATGTTTCCATTTTCAATTTGTCATCTGTTTTCATTCTGATGGTTCACATGACATCCAATTCATACGTAATAATTTCCAATACAGATTCCTTTTCAAATTAAGTCACCTTTTTTTTCAATAACGTGATGCCCTGTCCCTCGTGATTGCAACCGATTCCCATGATTTTGTTTTTCCTCGATTAATATTTTTATATGTTCTTTGTTGCAGATGAACGTCAAGTAATAAAATCTATTAGGTTGAAGGTTCAGGATGTCCATAACTTGGAGAATGGATCGCGTATAATTGTAGAATGTGATGAGTTTGCTCAACCTATTGGAAAATTAGCCGGCCTTCTTGCAGGATTTTTAGGGTAGTTTGCTACAAATCCTCGATACTTTTCTATTGGCTTCGAGAGTTGGGCATCCATGCCTAAACCTTTTGTGAACCGTGCTTTTAATGATTTCGTAATGGTAATACCTTTTAATTCTTTTGCTTAGTTTGTATGTTATAGTTCTGTCAGTAGTAAACTAACATATATTATTTTATGAAGTCTCGATTTTTCTTTATGAGTGATTCGCAAAAGGTAAAAGGATGGATTAACGATTCGCTTAACAAAAAGTGGAAGAAATTCAGGCTTAAGCTATGGCATGAGGCTGAGGATCCATTACTAAAGAAGATATCATCAAGTACGCTCTAGAAGGAATTCCCATGGACCAACGGGCATTGTATGTTAACTAGTTCAAAAGAGGAAACAAAGGTTCTTCTTCTTGTCTCTGCTGCTGCTGTTGCTTCTATTTTCTTTTCCCTGTTTTGTTTCGCTGCTTCTTCTCTGCCACTGATGTGGCTTCTTTTATTTTGTTTTCTTAATGCAACTGGGCCCCTTGTCGCTTTTTATATGTAACAAAAATTCTCCTACTTTGACTCGTTGGCGCTTTGCTTGAGAAATCAACGGATTCGAGGACAACAAATATTTCCCCATACTGGTGGTGCTATGAGTTTGGCTAGAGGAAGGGATTTTATGGTAGTTTAATACGACGTACTTACTGTCGCTTTAATTTTACTTTTTAAAACTTTCAGAAGAAACAGGGAAAAATAAGTTGATTGCGGCAAAGTGTGGACTGAAACTCATAAGAGGAAAGATGGGAGTTATGTGAATGATTAAGCTAGGGAGATAAGGATAAGTGTGTCTGATCACTATTTTCTGCTTTCTTCTTTTACTTTCCTACTAGTGGGAAAATGCCATAATGTTCTTGCCGGTGATGAAGATGAAGTACCCGAGTTAAGTTCTGAATACCAGTGATAGTTTGCCCTTGAAATGATTGATCTCTTATGTGGATTTGCCTCCATCAGTAATTTGTTTCTTCTAGCTTAAAGTCACATATTCTGTCTAATTCTCTCAAAGAACTTTAATGGGGATTTGCCTCCATGGACTTTCTTATGGACACTGGCTAACATTGTTTCGAACAAACAGAGCATATGACTAATTAATTCCAGAGCTGCAGCAATTTTTTACCGATTTATCCCAGAATTATACACATAAAAAATTTTTATGCTGTTTAAGTTAATGATCTAGCTACTAGGGAAAGCACATGTTTGCTGTAAGATGGGAAACCAAAATAGTACTTGTGATATTTGGGCATCTTTAGCTAATTCTTCTTTCTGGTTTATAATATAAGGCCAATAACTTCTTTTTATCTTCATTTAGTTAAAAATTCTTTAATTCATTGTAGTACATAATCTGTTGTAGTTCAAAATTATATTTTGTCTCTCGTGTAGGAAAGAATTGAAGAAATTCGAAGACATAGACCAGAAACTCTGGCAGAAATTTCACTGAATAACGCGCTTGGTGTAGTCTTCGGTCCCGAGCACCCTGGCCGTGTTCAGGGCTTAGGCATGGGTGCAGTTCCAACTGTAGTATTCAAGCAAACATCAAGATGAGGTGGTTGTTCTTATATTGGCGCAGCTAGCACTAGTGCTCCACCTCCACAATGGATGCAAGAGATGGCAAATATGAGATCACAATTAAATGCGCTAACAAGCTTATTTCAAATGAAAATAAGAAATATCCCGAGTAATTTTCTCACTTATTTCCGACTCCTTCACAGGTAAGTCTTCTCTTTATTTTGTTGACATATGTTGTCCTAAACATATATCTTTCAAAACCCATGTCTGCAAAAACAAAAAGAACCAGATTAAGCCAAAAAAAGAAAAAGAGAACAAAAGCAAAACTTTTTACCTATTGATAGAAAGAATTTAAGAGATGAGAGTGAAAGGTAGATAGATAGTGACATAAGATGCTCCTGTGCCTACATGCACTCAGTGGCGGAGCCAGGATCTCCACGAAGGGGGTTCAAAAGTTTTTTGTTGTAGCTAGTGGGAATTGAACCCATGACCTTATGTAGATTTTGAACACCCTTGACCACTAAATTACACTTTTGGATTGTGTTAAGGGTGTTCAAAACTTAATATATAGAGGTAAAACATAGATTTTGCCTTATATACACAGTGTAATTTTTCGGCGAAGGGTGTTCGTGTCCCCCTAAATCCGCCCCTGCATGCACTTACTATATGCTTTGAATTACTGCTAATTTTGGGTTGCATGCAGTAATCTATATAGGAATCCCTTTGCTGTTCTTTTTTCTTTTTAACTTTTTCTCTCTATTTGGGGTTTAGTTTTTCTGTAAAGAATCAGTTAATTACTAACTACTATATGTAGTAAGCGTGATGACATCTGAAAGAGTTTTAAGAAAAGGAAAAGTAACTATGGTTTGGAACAATCTCAGTAAAAGGCTGTTGGAATGAAAGCAGTGATTATAATGTTTTAAAGTAAAACTGTTTGGCACTACTAATTAGTTTTTTTTTTATGCAGGCACCCAATCTAGGAGATGACGTTCCGTCACCAAGTGGGCCAAGAAGATCCTTTAACGGAAGTAACTATGAAAACGAAGCAAACAACAATTAGTAATCATTGTTAGGATGGACTATGTTTTTTTTGTGTTGTAACTGTTGAATAACTTCTTAACTTTCTGCAACTTAAACTTGAATCTTGGATGATGTGGATTTTGGGTATGTTTTAATATGATGAATATTTTGCTTATCTAATTCTCTACTATAATTTAAGTTAATTATTATGATGGGTGCTTGATAACATATATGATGAATTTTGTGCAGTAGAAAGGATAAAGGATCTAAATGTGGTATTAAAAAATCAACGTTAAAAATATTTTAATTATGACAGTATAAAATGGCTATGAATTGAAAGGGACGGCAATTACGGCGGTTCAAACCGCCACAATAAGCAAAGTAAACAGCTGTACTTAAATATGCATATTGCGGCGATTTGACGAAAACCACCGTATTACACCTTTTGGCGGAATCGATTAAGGCGGGTACGTGGGCCGCCACTAATGACAATTACGGCGGTTCTTAACCGCCGCTATAAGCAAATATGACAGCTGCAATTACCCCAGTTTTTTGTAGTGATTGTAGAACAAGATAAGATCCCCATGCTAGTTCATACTTCATTTCCAATCACGTCTTCCATGTCACAACATACCGATATATCATCTTTACCACTAAAGGATTAGTGCAGTGGATGAGACTAACAGTCCCTTAACCAGAGATCTCAGTTTCAAGATCTGGGTATGAAAAAATCCTTCGTAAGGAGTGCTTCCCCCCCCCTCCCCGCTCCCCCCCCCCCCCCCGAATAAGGCCCTAAGCAACGCAAATTCGGATATAGTCGGGCTCCAATACGAATACCGAAAACCGAGTAGGAAACCAAAAAAATATATTATCTTTATTTTTCTAGATAGCTAACCAACTGGAACTTATTTTTTCGTTTGCAAGTTTTCTTTTACTTAATTTGTTCAATCAACTCCTAACGTAAACTACACAAAAGCAAATTTTGACGATTCTCAAACAGTATTGGTTTCCCACAAATTGGTAGAAAATTTATTGTTCAGTACTTTGTTGATGGACTAGTACACTAGCATTTTGATAATTGGAAAAGCTGAATGATCAAGCTCAATTATGTCTTATAAAAAGGATTAAGCGGTCGTTGTAAATATAATCCGGTTTATAAGTCCGGAGTCGAATCCCATAGAGAACTAAGGCTCAGCTACAGTTGTTCAATATCGCTAAGAAACACAAGTCCAAATAATTTCCTAATTATAAAGATATAATGTTTAGTTTTATCTAATTAACTAACAAATACTAGAAAGCAGTAAAACTATCAATTAATAAGGATAAGGATTGGAGACAAGATTAAGGAGGTCTAGAGTTATGATTTCCAATAAATTTGCCTAAGTTTTCTCTACCGATCATGAGTGCACTGAGTGTCGTAATTCTCTCTCGAGTAACTACCACAATTTATTAGACATATTTTTCTGAACTATACTAGCTGGCACTAAGTTACGGCTCACTCGGATCACACCAAGGTTTCGTTATCCCTAATACCACCTTTAAACCCTCCGTATTGGTCCCTCATATATGTTAGGAGTGATGTTGTTCAACAACTACCTAGTATGCACTCTCTGCCGAGTAATACACGCTAAATAGGCACAATTGATTGAGAGCTCTTCAACCAACCACAATAATAACATAGTTGAGCAAATAGAGAAAATGCTGCAGCAAATCTATTTTAATGTAATAGAAAAATCATACCCCAATAGGTTCCATCAAAACCCTAGATAACAAATAAGCTATTCATAATAGTATGCATAACTACAATACTAGAATTCATAACCAATATTAGAAATAGGAAGAAGGAAGTGAAAAATTCGTAGAAGAATTCTCCCCCTTGCTTCTAGTGTGTTCTTGCCTCCTTAGGTCGAATCCCCGGTCTCAAATCGGTCCAATCTCCATCTCCTCTTAAAAAGGCATTTTTAGGTCTATTTAATGTGTAGGAAAAGCCCTAAGCATATAGGCCAAGTCCTAGTCAAACCAGGAGACCAAATAAGTCATCAAAACTCGGAATGGATCTCGCCCCAGGCTTGGCGTCGCCAGGCATAAAGCCTGGTGGACCTGGCCCCAGGCCTGGCGTCGCTAGGCATAACGCCTGGTTACAAGCCTGGCGTCGCCAGGTTCTCTCATTCAACTACTCCCGCGCACGCTTTCGACTTGTATGTATCCTTTTTTCTCTACCTCCATCTCCAATTCACCTGCACATAAAATAAACTCAATTAAGCACAAATATAGTATAGTTTAGCATTAAAACACTTAAAATGTGAGGTAAATAATGTACTAAAATTTGGAATTATAGCCGAACATCAATACCCCACACTTAAACGTTGCTCGTACTCGAGCAATCAAATTACACTTACAAACACGACATTTTGAACCAATTCTCCTAACTCATCACACCAAGAATCTTTAAAATAGACTGAGCACAAGGGTGTAACATCTTCACCTCAAGATTTGACTCGCAAGTACCATGCACTATTTACCACTGACTCACTTACTCTAACATAGAGGTCAATACATTACCTTTCCATCATGAATCACGTGCCCTCACACAACAAAAGAGATTAGTTCCACACACAATACAATTTAAGAACAATTAGAAACTCAAGATAGAAAGAATTCTCTCACTCTCAGAAATAACATTCATATTCCACGAAAGATGCACCATAGACTTGCCCGTAGTGTACTACTCTACTAATCGAGTTCATTCAGTCTAGGATCAAGTAGGACTTTAATTGGTTGTAATGTAGGCTGTGGGTCAGGTAGGATACATTTGGATATAAGAGTGACTACACCTCCCTAAGCAATTTAATACATATACTTTAACATTCAAAACCATACTCATGTCAAACCATAACTGCACCTTCACATCAATATATATTAACTCCATACTTCTTTAAGCACAATTACATTAAGAGTCACCACTTATCAAAAAATATTTTTTTCCCACAGCAATACAACTGTTTTTTCTTTTCTTTATTTTTCAATTCAAGTGGCTCTTACTCTTTTAAAACAGTGCACCTTTCTCGTTATTTTATTAGTTCCATTCAAAAGCCAAACCAACCACCCCACACATTTTCTTTTACATAAATCATCACAATTCAAGTGCTCATGAGAGGTGACAAGGTTCAAGTACATAGTTAATTCAAAAAAATAGGTAAGGCTTGTAATGTGGTTGCCAAAGAAACAGGATTACAGGCTCAAAGGGGTTAACTACGATACAAACAATTAGGCGGGTAAAATATAAATATCTGGCTCAACAAAGAAACGCCTATATCACTTCCAAGACTGAACAAAACTACTATTTCGCTTTGCAAATATACGGGGCAAGTTCTAGACATCAAATTCATGCACAGAATAACACACAAACCTCACACCCACATGGCACATAACTAACTCAGGATTGGATTCCTCAAGACACTCTAGTCAAAGCAGTTAAACAAATGTAAAAAATATACGGTTTAAGGTACTTATATTAGAGTAAAAAACCGAGCCTAAGCGTCACAACCAAAGTACTCACTATTCTCAAGGCATAACAAAGTCAGGAGATATTGCTTCAATTCAATTCATAGCACAATGGTTCCTACTCCTAGAAAAATAAAACTAACTACATCCGGTTCAAACAATACCCTTGGAAAAGAACCGCGGCACAAAGAAAACCAAGGGGGAATTACTACACTACCTACAAAGAAAACCTTTTTGTCCTTTCTTTAGACTTAGATCCCTAATTGTCTAATAGATCCATCATCGGGAAAAGTCCAATCTTTTTAAAAAAAAAGTTATTCAGTTAAACTAACACAGCTAAAGTAGCATAGAAAGTCAAGCAGACAATCTCCTCACCCCACACTTAAAATTGTGCATTGTCCCCAATGCACACCATAACTAATAAAAGGGTAAAAGAAACTCCCTGGTAGGCCAAAGGCCGAAGCACTAGAAGCTCATGGGGTACTTAGACTTCTCCCAAGCTTGGTCCTTCGTGTGGGTACCTCACACTTAGTTCCAACCATCTGGTTTGTTGTTGCATCCTTCCAATAGCTTTGCTTTCCATGCTCCTAAAAAATCCAAAATTAACACAACAACAAGCGCTTGATTTAACGTCGTGGCACGACGCATATCACTTTCTGCCTCCACTTTGAACTTATGAATTGGACCCCAAGTTTTGATTTTGCTCTATGATTATGCTCCTAGGGTGGTGGAACGAATCTGACTGGCCCAATAAAACAATGCAGTATTCTGCACTTCTTGGCCTTTAGATCAGATGTTTATTCCCGACTTTGTGGCATGAAGAATTCCAGAATGTAGGCATCTAGTTCCTTATTCCTTGACTCCTCACTCGGATGGCTCTATTTCTGTATCATCATCCAAACACAATGTGGAAAAATGCTTGGAGTGTGGACCAATGTGCTCAACTACATGAACATTAGGACTGTCTACATCCTCAACACTAATGATACTTGAGTCAACCAAATATGTATCATCAATGTCCTTGGTTGACTCTAGTATCTCTTCTACAACATCGACATCCTCAAAATCTAGTTCGATTGATTATTGGTGTTCTACTCTGGCCTTCTCCACTAGCACCTCAATTTCTGTATCTAATTCACGCCCTTCTTAGATATTATTCACAATATTAGCCTGGTTAGCATCAAAAACTTCAACCAGTTTGACTTACTTGAACTTTCAAGTTGTGAATAGTTTCCTCTTGCCTTTCTATCTGCAGCTGTCTTTTACTATCTTGTTCCACAAGGCACTTTAACATATCATTTTGTTCCACAAGGCACTTTAGCATATCCTTGATCTCTTTCAGGTCATCATCCCTGGGTTCTTTGTTCCTATTAATTTCATAAGAAAAAGAAGAACCATCAAAGTAAGGGTTTGGCGGAAGATAAGAAATATAAGCACAACCATGAAAGTGGCCATCTTGACCACCACACATATCACACACATTCCACACATAAGATTGAGTTGGTGCATATAACTCACTCTCGGGAATCTTTTGATAATTTTGCCATAGGTGGTTTCCTTCACTATATGAATAAGGGGGATCAAAAGTAGATTTACCAACATCATAACTCTCATATTTCCAAGATGCCATGTCTCTCAAGTCAAACTAAACATCAAAAAAAATAATCAAAT